TCTACGACAAGCGCTGGAATGACATAGAAATTGCTCCCTTCATTCTGTGAGCCAAACCCTGAGTTTGGGGGTTTGGAAATCCCCACAAGGTGCACTTTCCTATTGCTCATTTGGAAAGAAAAAAAGCACGTCTTTAATGAAATGCAATTTTTAAGAAACTGCCAAAAATAGATGCTCCCTATCTGCCTTCACAGATGGTAGCTTCTTTCTAGCCAATTAACTACCGATGAACTGGGGAAGAGCTATAGCAACAGGCATGCCAGGCTCCCCCGTGCTCAGCCGGCCTGATTGTCCCGGGGAGACACAGAAGTTCCTGGTCCTGTCTCAAGTCATGAAAGCTCAGGAAGAAGGCCGCCCAACCCCAACATTTCTGTGCAAGGCCATTCTGGTTCACTATAGCTAAGCTCCCAGAATTAAACCTGGTGGGTTGTCACCTTTCAGGCAAATCCTGTTCATTTGTTCTCCCTCTCTGGTTTTTAACTACATCATGCTGAATGGAAATATCCAAGGCCCACAAAAGGCTGGTTTTTCATGACTTTTACTAATGAGATTTATTTATTTCTTCATTAACACCATGCTGGTGAGATTGTTCTGTCTGGAAGTGTAGTGGGTATTGGGTTTTTACATTGTCTGAAAATTAGCAAGTTACACACAGTCTTGTGTTTCATGAACTCTTGTTCCAAATTTTAAGCTAATCAAGAGGTCAATATTTACACATATTTATGCATTTCTGCCCCCCAAGCCAATACAAAGCTACAGAAAAAATGGAATTTCCTACCAAGTGGTTTCTTTTCTAATGATTTCCCATTAATTTGGAGTCGGAAAGAATTTTTTTGACATCCCTTAAGTGATCTGAGGTTTAGCTTGTTTTGTTTCATTTTGTTTTTTTTTAAAAAAATGACCTCAGAAAGAGTTGGAAATACAGGCAATTGGTTAGCCCAATCTGTGTTTACTTGTAGGGGTGTTGTAATTAACCTGAAGTGTAATGTGTCCTTTAAGGACATAAAGTTAATTAATTAACAATTAAAGCTACTGGGAGGGCTTCATAACAGGAGATGATAATATCTACCATTTGTGTGGTCTATTCCAAGCCAAGCGCTTTATAATAATTAAATCACTTAATTCTCACAGCTATGCCACTGGTCAAGAACAGTAGTTGACTCTACAGAGATGGGGAAACCCAGGCTCAAAGAGGTTCAGTCCCTTTGACAACGTCACACAGCTAAGAGGCAATGGAGCTGGAATTCAAGTGCAGTCGTCTAAGTCAGTGTAACTCCCTGAAAGCTCAAGACAGTATTGAAAGTTGGTTAGAATGCTGGTTATGTTTGGTCTTAGGATACCATTAGACCACAGAAGTTTCCAGACATGGCTTTAATACCACTGATATACCAATGGCTTGGTTTATGTCTCCAACCCTAATGATTTCCCTCAACACTGCACTTGAGTGTCCAACTAATATCTCCAATGTAACACTTCCAAAATAGAGCTGTTCACCTAGTCTAGCCCATCTCAGTAAGTGGCAAATTTGTTGTACCATTTTATATCCACTCTACCAGCAAATCTGTTGGCTCTATCTTAGAAATGTATATGGAATTCAAGAACCCTGGGGAAAGCCTCCATCATAACTCACTTACTGGCAATAGTCTCCTAGCTTCTAGTGTTGTTTTATGACATCCTAAATGGTTCACGTACAATGCAAATCAAATTATGTCATCCCTCTGAATCCCATGTCTTTACCTGGCCCTACAGGCCCCTGAAGCATCTATGTATATCTACCCTTTCCCACAAGGCAAGACAAAACTAACTTGAAATACCCCACTCCCTCCCCAAGGACCACACATCCTGTAGCCACTCACCCTTAGCAGGTCCTCAGCAGGCTAGGCCTGTTTCCACCTCAGGGCATTTGCACTTGCTGTTTCCTCTGCTGAGGATAATCTTCCCCAAGCTGTCCCTGGGACTGGCTCCCTCCCTTAACCAGAGGGGACTCCTCTCTCTGCCTCTTCTAGGTAAAACATATGTGGGCTTTCTTTGCGCTATTTTGTTTCAAAATTTCTGTGAAGTTGAAATTTTAAAAATAAAAATATAGTAGGAAAGAACATAATTCAAATCCTACGTTCTCAGAGTAATAAATAAAAATGTTCTGTTGAAATAATGAAAGAATGAATGTTAGACCACTACTCAAGCTGTGCTCCCAGGCTCCGTGCACAGAGCAGACACACAGATGGCCTAAGGACAATGGTCCTACCCCATCTTGGGAAACTTGTAGCCTCAGTCTGAATGTTCAGCTGGCCATCATCCACCAGGCTAAGAACAATGGATTCTAAAGCTGACCAAACAAATGTCACAATCTTGCATGACAATGTTAAGACAGGTCTCTAACTTGGCCAGATACTTCAGCAGTCACCAGAATCAAGTAGAAATGCTGTAAAATCAGCATCTCTTCCATTTACATTGTGCTCCTTGAGAAGTCTGTGCTTGTTATATTTTTAAAAATAGAGTTTAAATATTTAATTTTTAATAAGGTGCCAATGTTTACACAGTGTTACAATAAAAAAATTGCTTTGTGGTTGCTCCAACACCAAATGCAAATAGATCTCATAAAAATCACACGTAGGCTCGTTCCCAGCACACCAAGGCTGTTGAAAAGCTCGTTATGACCACATGGGTGAAAATGGAGTCTGCTTCATGCTCCCTGAGTTAGGCATACAGCCTCTCCCCTCCTGTAAATCACTGCAGAGGCTGGAAGCTGAGTCTGATAAGGCACTGCCCAGTGAGATTAAAACAGAGGTGTACTATGACGATTATGTAATTCTCTTCTCCAGCTCGAGTTCCTTCTCTCTTCCAGCTCATCACCTGATAATGAACACTGAGCAATATTTGCACGTGTTGATCACTTGAAGTAACCAGCTCTCACCTAAGTAAAACAAAGTGCTCAAAGTTTTTCAATTTCTGTGACTTATTAGGATCAAAAATGTATCTACTAACCTGTCTTCTCCTTTGTGAGGTCTTTAGGAAGGACTAAATGGAGAAATTTGAGATTGCCTTTTTGTAAGTAACAGCAGACACTAAATGATATTTGTTTCTAGCACATTCTCTTTCTCTAAAAGCCACACACACACCTGCATTTCCAGGTGGTGTCTGACTTCTACGACACAGTTCCTTCCTAACAGAGAGAGCAACAGATAGGTCGATGAGCCTGCTTAGAGAACCCCTTTTCCTTTGTGTACTTATGTCTATTCACATAAAAAAAAGATTCAGAAAGAATCCAGTAAGTTCTACAAATGTTTAAAGCCTTTGGTTCTGGAAATGTTCCTCTGAAAAATGTTTAGTTCATCTCCACATTCCAGCTCTACTCCTCTTGCTCATTAGATCAGCAGGTTAAGTGATGAAGTGCTACAGTAAATACTTTGTGAATCCCTACCCATGTGCTTTTTAACAAGGAGTGACGAAGTTGAACAGCATGTTCCCCATGGAGTGTGATGGGTGGCTGAGTGGACCACAGGGCTGAGTTAGGGCTCCAGGTAAAGAAGGCAATTGGCTCTTGCAGCCCCTATTGCAAACTCCCCCATCCTTGACCTTAACCTGCCTGTCTGACCCTGGCCCTTAGTTGAGAAGAGCCTGGACCCCATAACAAATTGGAGGTTCAACTTATGAAGGAAAACAAGGTTAGGTTATTTAAGTCAAGTATCACTCCCAACTGTTCCTTGTGAATTCACAGATGTCTCTACGTTAAGCATTGGGGTGAAAGACATAACTTCCCTTGGTGACTTTGGCCCAGAGGGAAGTACCTTCTCCTCCCTCTATGGCCTCAGCTGAAGGAGAAGGTCATTCTCTGGTGTCACTGCTCTTTGGCTGTCTTTTCACTGTTTCATGTTTCCTACTGAAGCTCCTTGTTTTCAGCTAAAAGGCTATCCTGGATTATCTAAACCCAGGCTATGACTAATACTCTTTGGAGCGCCACATGGGAATAAGAGGGGAACTACATGAAGCAATCCCTAAGACTTTTTCAGATTTAAAGTCCAGGAAACTCCAGCTTCACTTGCATTTGTTCCATGGAAACCCAATAACAATACTAATATTAGGATCTGTTACTCAATACATACGTGTCATGGATGAAACAACAAATTTTGTTTTATTATAAGAGTGAATACTGAATTCCCTACTCCTATATGTTCATGCTGAAGTAGCCATCTGATATTATTTTGGAGGGAGCCAATTACGGAAACAAATTGTCCATAGTTTGTCAGCGTGATCTAACTTAAACTTTTTAAACATATCAACTAGAAATTGTCATAGAAAACCACTTTTAGGTAGGTTTTTATCCAAGATTAACATTTTTATTTGGGCTAAGAAATTGTGGAATCTGATTAGGAATTCTGTGTCACATCTGAAAGAGGAGTGGAGACTATAAGGTTAGAAGAGAGTGTTCAAAGGGCTTCAGCAAACAAAGGTAAAGAGGATAGGAAGGACAATGACAGGGGCACAATGATGGCATCCAATACAGCAGGCAACACTCCCCTCCCAAGGACCAATACCCCCTTCCTCATTAAGAGAATCTAAATCTTGTTCAGAGAGTAATATGCCTCACTACACACTGTCCTTCCCAGACTCACATGCAGCTGGGGGCGCCATGTGACAGAATTCTAGCCAATGGGTGAAAGCTGGGCATTTCTTGGACAGCTTTGCTTTCTTGATATTATCATTACATCTATTATTTGCCTCCTCCTGCTTAGAAAGCAGACATCACACCAGCAGTTCAGTAACCATCTTGAGACTATGCCACAAAGGATGGTGGGAAAAAATACCAAGGAGTGTGGACCCTTGATGATACTATGGAGATGATAGTCCTGGGTGTGCAATCCCAGGTTTCCTATTCAGCTCATCACTGTTGATTGGATTTTCTTTGATTTGCAGCCAAATGCACCCTTGATACATCAATATCCAATAATGATATTGAGAAGGATGAGAATGACGCAGTGAAAAGAGAACAGACTAAAGAGAAAGAGCAACCAGGATAACTCTTATTCACATAGATCATACAGTGGACCTAAAAAACATAGCTTAATTTCTTCCCCCAGAAAAGACAGAAGTCCTGACTGAAAGAATAAATGCATCATTACATTCAATACAAAGATGCCCAATGCACAAATTGGCTGTCTAGAATTTAACTCCGTCCTTCTGTGCTTTGATTGCTGGTATGAAAATGCATGCTTATACATTAAAGCTGGGCATTTTGCATCCTACAGAGAAGAGAATGGAACAGATTTAGAATCAATTTAGTATTTCTCTTGCAATCCATTTGGAGGAGTTCCCACTGAGAACTCATATGCCTCACCCTCTCTGCAGTCATATTTCTTAAGATCTGAGAGGGAAAATAAGTAGTAACACTGGGTAGCCTGTTCTGATTCTTGTATAGGCTATTTGGAAATTAAAGCACACTTATGGCAAGCTGGCAGCATATAGGATATGGCCCATAGAAAGTGCTGGACTGATCAATATTTAAGAATACACAGGCAAAAGCAATAAATAAGCAAATGCGATGAGGATGCAAATCAGTGATTGGGTGTGTACACTCTCAAAATAAGAATGAACCCCTTTGCATGGAAGGGAATACAGTGCAGCACTAAATGTTCCGATTGTTCACCAGGCAGTCCCAAGATGCTGGGCTTGGAGAGAGAAATGATTTCTTCATACTCATCATAACAGGTGACCCTGATGTAGGTTCAGAAACTGATGGATAAGTAAAATAATAGACTGAGAAAAGAAGCAAAAAATGGGGTAGACATGCATGAACCCATACTTACAGTTTTCACTATGTTCAAATTTAATTTCTTTTTCTATTCCAACAAAGTAAGTGCAAATATCTTTAGTCTGATTCAGTAACATAGCAGCAAAACTTCAGGAACCAGTAAGTAAGGACACCGACACACCAATAGCCCTTTGCCTTATGGACTCAAAGCTTCACAAACATCAGCCTTGAACAGAAGGGCAAACATTTGTTGATTCAGCATTTCTGTTCCATGTCCCTGTACAAACCACATAGTTTACACCCACCCACATGCCCCCATAGCAGTTAGTAAAGTCATTAACAAACACAATTTGAAACTTATAAGGGGTTAAAGCTATAAAAATGCCTACTCATTGATGTATTTTTTAACAAAAGGTTTCATCTGTCTTCCCTTCCTTTCAAACAAAGCTTTTGGATCATTCTTTAGAATTATAACACATCATTTGTTTACTTCTTTTGAAATGACACAGTTGTTGTATTTTTCTCATAATAATTGCCATCTTGTTTCTAATTAAACATGATGGACTCAGGGTCCTGGTTTGCCATCTGGGCCATATGTCTCAGAACATCCTTTTTTGTGATGATGCCAAGAAGTCTCCTGGAGAAGAAACAAAATAGAGAAAAGAGGTCAACCTTGCAGTACTGACTCGTGTCTGTCCCTAAAAACCAGCGCCTCTCTCACTTTTCACCTGGGCATACAGAGAGACAACACTGCCAGCTTCCCTTACAGTTGGATGTGGCCAACTGAGTGAGCTCTGGCCAACGGTATATGGGTAGACATGAGGGGTGCCCCTCCCAATTTGCCCACAGATTTCTTCATACTCTCTCTCCTGATCTACCGAATAGAGGCACAGGAGCCAGTGAAGGACTCTGAGGTAACATGGGTTTGATTTAGGAGCCACCAGATTCAAAGACCTGATCCTTGCATGACTGTGTGTTTACAGCCCAGTTCTGCTACAACCCACACTGGATGTGACATGGGGGAGAAAATAAACCTGACACACCAGGCCACTGACATCGCAAACTTGTTTATTCTAGCAGCAAACTTGTGATGACTAACACTCCTAAATTTCAAGATGAGAATCAATAAAATAAAATGGTTTTATCAAAGCCATTGTCAAAACTTGCCCACCTCACAGAAATTCCAAGTGTAAGGTATTTTAAGTATAGTAACTGATGCTATTTTAAATCTATCTTACTAGAAGGGTACAGTTTCACGTGCATCTCGGACTACATCTGTAAATTACCTCCTCTTCCAAAATTCCATTGCTTTCAACTTAGGAAAACAATACCACCTGCCAGGGTCACTTGTGTAGGGCTGCCTAGACAGTACATTGCACAACTCCAGGGAGAGCCCTTCACAAATACTACCATGTAAATAGTGCCCCCCGAATTATGCAGTGCACACTTGGACATCCATTCACAACACCCCTTGTTTTGCTCTTGATTTTATTAAATATTTAAATGACCACCTGCTGAAACGAATCATGCCTTCTAGCTAGGTACAGTGAAGGGCTTGAAAGAAGGCGATAGACACAACTCCTTTGGAGAAAAGAAGTTCCATTGCAAAATTAGTTTGCAAAATGCTGCTCACCATGTCTCCATCATATCCAAGGAAATGGGAATGAAGAAATAAACTATGGCAGTCTGACACTGTGGGATACCGTAGAGCTATTAAAATGACCAGCTTCTCTGTAGCTGTATAAAATGATGATGTACCAAAAAAGCAGAAAACACAACTGTAACACACTGCCATTGGTCTAATTAAAGCCAAATCAGTCAAACTCATCTCTTACTAATAGAAAATAAATATTCAAAGGGAATTCAAGTATTCAGAGCAGTATTCAAGTTAGTTACATCTGGTAAAATGCACACTGGTTCATGAAATTATCACGCCAAAATTCTGACTTCTTTGTCCCTGATCTCATTGGACCTTAAACAAGCGATTGATTTCTTGTGTTAGTTTCCCTCTCTATCACACTGGGGGAGACAGCAGATACTTCCCCTTCCACATTATCACATAGGAACAACTCAGGAGATGGGAAAGGAGCAAAAAGTGGCCTTTAAAAGCATGTTTAAAAAAAAGAATAATGACAATATGGATGACAAAACACTGAAATAAAGCATCATGACTCTATCATGATAATCAAAAAATTAGGAAAAATGTAGAAAGCAGAATAGAATTAGAAAACCAACATTTTGCAACCACGATGTAAGAATTAGTTCAGTCAATAATTACCAATGGATTCCAAAAGCACTGGGTAAATGCCTGCTGGGAAACAGAAAATTCACATGGTCTGAAAGCATCCCTCCACAGATTCCTTACAAAAATAAAAATGTCCCTTTATAACTGAGGGTTCCGGCCATCACCACCTCATCCAAGTGATGGAGCTTATCACCAACAAAGTCGGAAAAGCTGACGTTATGACATCATCTCCTTTGAAATGTTGCCAAAAACTACTTAAACCAAATCAAACCATGAGGAAGCAATCAAACAAATTCAGAATGTGAAACTACTGGTCTGGACTCTTCAAAAAAAAATCTATGTCACAAATAACAAACAAAATAAGGCAGGGAACTATTTTCAATGAAAGATGAATGAGGCAAAACAACCAAATGCAATGTATGAACCTTGAAGGAATTCTGGATTGAAACTTGGTATGAACTAGATATTGAGTGATAAACTAAGCTATTATTAATTTTGTATAATTATGGTTTAGTGGTTATGTAAAAAGAGTGCCCTTACTCTTAGAAGATACATGCTTCATTCATAATTTCCAAAACTTGGAAGCAACCAAGATGTCCTTTAGGAATTTAAATGGATAAACAAACATGCAGACAATAGAATATTGTTCAGTGCTAAAAAGAAGTGAGTCATCAAGCCAGATAAAGATGTGGAGGAACCCTCAATGCATTTTGCTAAGAGAAGCCAGTCTGAGAAGGCTGTGTGATTCCAATTCTCTGACATTCTAGAAAAGACAAAACTAAGGAGACAGTAAAAAAGACCAGTGGTTTCCAGGGGTTGTGGGGAGGTCAGAGAAGGAGAGATGAACAGGCAGAGCACAGAGGATGTTTAGGGCAGTGAAACTGCCCTATGTGATACTCTGTGTGATACTATAACTGTGGGTACATGCTGTCCTCCATTTGTCAAAACCAATAGAACATGCAACACTAAGGGTGAACCCTAATGTCAACTACAGGTCTTTTCACAACAATATATTGCTATTGGTTCATCAACGGCAACAAATACAACACAACAATGAAGATGTTAACAAGAAGGGAAACTGAAGGTACAAGAGAGGGAATATGGGAACTCTGTACTTGCTGTTCAATTTTTCTATAAACCTAAAACCGCTCTAAGAAATAAAGTCTATTAATTAAAGAAAACAAAACCCTTGGAGGGGAGGGTTTGGCTGAAGGGATGTGGGTAGTGAAGAAGGATAAAGTCTGGAATTGTTTTTCATTCTAGCTGTTTAGAGCTACTTGACTTGAAACATGTTCACATGATACTTTAAATATGTTTCTGAAATTTATCAAAATGCAGTCAAACTGATGATGCCCCAGAAAACCAGATGCTGTTTACTAAATCTTCCAAGCTGAGTCTGAGTCCTGACTCAGTCTACTTGAGCTGCCATAACAAAGCACCACAGACTGGGTGGGTTAAACAACAGAAATGTAGGTTCTCACAGTTCCGGGGATTGGAAGGCTGAGATCAAGGAGCCGACAGGGTTGATTTCTACAGAGATCTCTCTCCTCAGCTTGCAGACATCTGCCTTTTTGCTGTGACCTCACATGGCCCTTTTCTCTGTTTGAGCATCCCCAGTGTCTCTTCCTCTTCTTATGACGACACCAGTTCTATCAGATTAGGGTCCCACTCATGACCTCATGTAATCTTAATTATTCCCTTAAAGACCACATCTCCGAATAGTCACATCAGAGGTTAGGGCTTCAATGTAAGACTTTGGAGTGTGAGGATGACATAATCCAGTGCATAACAGCCTTCGACTCCCTTTAATATAAAAGACGAATAGGCAGAAGGCAAGCAGAATGCCTATAACACGGCACTAAGACAGTGTGATCGCAGTAGAAATGGGAGCAGGTGTGAGCAGCTGGGCTGGGAAAGGTGTGTCGGGACATGGTGGGAAGAGGTTCTGCTGCCGGCAGTTGCCGGCTGATAGATAATCCCTCAACTTCAAATGCTCTTTTGTTCTCTTTGACATGTGTTTTCTGCTTGGAAGCATGGCTCAGGACATGTGCCTCTGCGGCACCTGGGTAACACCACTTAGATTAGATTAGACCCATGTCCCTCAGTGGATGACAAACCCCTGGTCTTTATTTTTAAACACTTCTTGAGCCTTTTCCGGGTCTCCAATCAAATAGATCCTCAGTGAGATGAGCAAACCAATGTTGCTTTTTAAAAATATGACTTGTTGGTGTTTGCAAAGTGCTGAGAACTTGCCTAGACCACACACACACACACACACACACACCACTCCTCCCATATCTTTAAAGCCTGGTTTTTATTTCCTTATCTTTACCCTGGAGACGGCATCAAAGATCAGGCTTTTGCCTAAAGCAGTCCTGACAAGACCCCCTCCGAGCCCTGCAACAATGTCTGAAAGTCAAGCCAGTTACAACAGTTCGGTGGGGCAAATACAAATTCAGGAGCTGCCTTGGGTGCAGGCATCAGTTGTGCCCTGGCCCTCGACAATAATTACCACCGAAGAACACTGCGCATCCATCTGGAAGGAGGCGACATCAAATCACGCAGGGGTCATTAGTACTGTGAAATGTCCCACTTGATTTAAATCAAGACTTTGTACTTCCAGCCCTTTGGGTAGTAGTTTAAATGAATCCAGTAACTAATAAATGGCCAATCTAGGACCATGAACATAATTCAGATTAAAGCAGCTGAACTCTTCTGGGGTCACCTAGCAGATCTTGGGAAAAAGCTGGCACCATCTCCCTGACTCGCTTGTTCTTTCTAGATCCCGTGTGTGGAAAATCCCATCCAAATTCACTCTTTGCCACTGTAGGTTTCTGGCATTCTGGAGACAAAGACTTCTCTGGTTCCCGGTCTGGTTTCACAACTACCTTGGACCCAAGGCCCCAAGAAATCCTGTGGATGATGCAGGCCCACAGGATGAGCTGGGCTCTCAGCTATAAGCAAGGAAGGCACACAGCAATAGAATAATCAAAAACGCGCGCTGGCTTAAGACATGCCTGCCCTGGCTGAAAGCCCGGGGAGATGAAAGGCCCTGCACATAAGGACCCCTTGCCAGCACTAACTTATCAGCATCTGTGTTTGTTTAAAATATGTAAAGCAAGAGCAAAAGAGAGAGTGAGAGAGAGCGAGGGAGAGTGATTTTGTTTTCGCATAGAACATTCGGAGCCAATTTCAGCACCCAAATCTTCACAGGAAAACCTCATGGGGCTCCATGAGGTGCGAGCGGGTGTTAGGAGCAGAATTTCCTGCCAGAACTGGAAATTCCAATGATAACTGACATTGGATGATTATTTGAAAGGGAAAGAGAAACTGCTATGCACTTGAGACGACATGGATGATCACAGTAGTATTTATGCCAAGTGCTGGGAATTCAAGTACAATATATACATGGGCTTCAGTGTTTTGCAAAGTGGGTTCTCCTGACCAACAGCAGCCCTTCGGGGCTTGTTAGAAATATACAGTCTATGCACCACCGCCCGAGACCTGCCCTGGGGCCCAGCACTCTGGGGTCCACTTGGAGGTTTAATCCTTGGGGATTCTGATGCACACTCAAGTTTGTGAACCACTGAGTTCCTTTAAAAGTCACAGCCAAAATAATCTCTAGCCTTAACTATCTGTTTATCTGTTTCCCTATTGATTGCCCTTCCCAAGGGCAAGACACCCCCTGCTCAGCTGTTGTCAGAGCTAGGAGGACACCTGTCCTGTTGGCTAGGCATTCTCTGGGTCAATGTGCAAATCCAACTGCTTGCAGAGCCCTGTGCTGCTGTTGGTAGGACGGTGGGAAGAAGGCTGAATGAGTAAGGACGGCTCAGTTGGTTATTCTCTGGCATCCAACCCAGGGTCACTCAATGGCAATGCTAGTGACATTTAGGGCCCGATGATTCTTTGTTGCAATGGGGGCTGTGCTGTGCATTGTAGTGTCCTGAGCAGCATCCCTGACCTCCACCCACCAGATGCCAGGAGCACCCCTTCCCTGCAGTTGTGGCAACCAAACTCTCGGGGTGGGGAGGAGGCAAAATCAGCCAGGTTGGGAAGTGCCGGATTAAACTGGAGTGTGCTGGCTCTGGAAATGTAAACTATGTCAGGGAGTAAAGCCTCTGGAGCCTATAAAGGCCTAAATCATACTTAGGAGACCAATGTCTCCGCAGCCCACCCCCCACACCCCCTAGCCCCAGCCCATAAAGGAGTGAACTGGGCAGACAACCAGAGACTCTAGGCTACCCTGACCCAGCCGAGCTCTTCCTCCTACCAAGCATCACAGGCCATGGAATTGGGGGTACACCCCTGAGCCCAAAGAATGACCCCAGGGGCATTTCACTGCTCATGTCATCATGACCCTTTGAGCTTTGCAGTGCTGCCTGCCTGGTTTGTATAAACATGAAGCAAAAGGAATGCTGCTGCCGCAGAGACAATACCACGGGACTGCTAAGTCTCTCAGCTCTCCCATAACGTTTGTGCTGAACACATGGACTTGTTTTGACCGCACTGACAAAGCAGGGAACAAGCTGAGCATAACAGAACTTCACATTTGCTTCTGGTGATTTCATCCAGGAGGCACTCCAGGTGAGTGCAGACAAGTGCACCCAGCTGGCCCCCAGGGCACAGGGATACACAAAATGCTCAAGAGCTGTGGCCCGTACAACACTCAGGTCCACGAGCCAACCTCGGAGTCTCTCAAGGTGATGTGACTTATTTATTGTCATATTGCTATATTTCTTAATCATTTCATGTGTCTAAAATGGTACTGCCATTTTCATTACCTTTCCATCTTTCTTTTTTAATGTGTCACTGATGAAGCTTTTGAGTATTATGCCCCTAACTCTATTTTTTTCTCACAAGCCCTGTGCTTTTCATTGCTCAGTTTTGCATATGACCAGCACCGTGATTGTAAGGAAGGTGTATGCCACATCACAGCAGAACAGGCTGTGCCTTCTCCTTGAGCCAGGCTTCACCTGGGTAGTACAGAAGCAGCCCCAAGCTCTTTCTTTTGCCTCCTTCCCTTTGTGGCTCAACCTACAGCCTCATGCCAGATAGCAGTCCCACCTGGAAGCTTCCTGGGCTGCACTAGTCCCTGTGTTTAAGTTCCCACAGCTCCCAGTCATTTTCTTCTCAACGTACCCACAACAACACCCCGCCATCCTCTACCAAGTGCTGGTCCTTGAGGGCCCTAAGGACCAAGACCACGTCTCATCCATCTTGTTCTCCCAAGTGTGGCCACAGTACACATTCCATCAACACTAGTCCAGCTACTCACCCACTGCGTGTCACCAGGCATTGCCGGAGCCCCAGTTTCCGGAAGATATCCACCACTGTCTCCATGGGCGTGTGGTCCGTGACCGTGAAAGGACTGAGGTTTAGGACACGGCGCAGCTTCAGGGGTTGTGGGCTGTTGGCCGGCAGCTCAGGGGGCTCCTCCGTGAAGTACATGATGGAATTGCTCACGATGCCCTCCTGCCTCTGTCTGGCGTTCTCTAGAATGAATGGGCGAGCAGAAGGATGAGCCAGACCAAAATCACTTGCTTAGCAACTGTCCCGACCCCAGAACCACAGGAACACACATCCCCCCACCACCCGCATCCTAGAATGCCACAGAAAAGGGGTTCAGAGGGCAAACTCCACATCCTTAATGAGGGGCTTCAGCCAAACATCTATGAAATCAGCCATTGCTGGGCTAGAGTCCCTTTGCTATGACCCAACCATTCACTGCCAAAGTCTTAAAACATGGGCCTGACCATGAATGCTCCTCTGGGGGAATACATTGCTTCCCCTGAACTCCAGGGCACCCAGAAGGCCCAGAGCCCTCCACCCTCACCTTTCTAGCACTTCTTCACCTCATACCATGGGCTGAAGTCTGACATGACAAGAGACTTCATTTAGCTGCCTAGCGACCTTAATACATTGGTTTGTTTGTTTGTTTGTTTTTTCCACAAACTAACTCACAGTTGGCCCAAATGGTATTTTGAGTCCTGAAAGGAACAAGAAATGAATAGGGCCATCCCAGGCTCACAGCCCAGAGATGTAGCTCAATCCCAAATAAGACCCTTGGAACCAAAGAAATACCCCTAGAAAAGCCGCATCTCCCTCCCCTTGGATCTCCATTCTTAAAAGGGGGCCATTTTGAGGATTTCTCCAAGAAATAGAGTAAAACTGTTATGGTAACAATTAGCCTATTTCTATCTATAGGCAAGGCCATGTAAAAGAGAGCTGAAGAAAAGTGGGGTAACAGGAACTCATTAGAATACAGCTTTCTGCAGCACTAGAAACTCAGGCTATTTTAAGTCACACATGAAACAAATCCATCAGTCTCAAGATATTTCTCCAAGGCAATTTTCCTTCTGTTGGAATGTTAATCTTTCTTCTGGTTCATGGGAAAAGGTTAGGAAAAATGTACAGTGAGGCTTGCCTTCAAATGAATCCTGGTTTTTATAATACAGTTCTTGCTTTCTCAAAGACTACAATTCACCTACACTGTTCGAACTGCCTGCTCTACAGCCATGAACTGCATAGAGTACTCTAATGGAGAACTGGCAGCATTAGGGGTCAGGCGAGTTGGAAAAGGGGTCTCTGTTTAAAAGAGAAACAAGGGGCCCACTGGGCAAATGCCTGCACATTATTTGGGTCAGGTTAAATCTAGTCACCTCACATGGGATATGACTCATCCACAAATGCCAGACGGCATTGAGGCACAACGCATTTTCAAATGGAGATGCCACATGACGCACACCACCCACTTCTCTCCTAAATTGAGATGGTTCTGTCCTGAGCACTCAGGTGGGAGGCAAGAGTCAACACATACTTACTGGCTCATTTTCATACACCAATTGATTCGCCAAAAGTCCCACATAACGAGAATCCCATCTCTTTCAATAATCGGGTCGAAATTAGAAATGGATCAATCCACACACCTCAATCAAGGACTCATCACATGAATTTGCTGAATCCCTTATAAAATCAAATGCAACTTAGTACCCTGTCAGTCCACTTGTTGAAATACATGAGCTTCCATTTCCTTGGCAATCTACTGTTTGGGTTAGAAGCCCCGATCCTAACAACAGCTAATTCATTGAATTCTTGCTTACCAGTGCATTCCCAGTGCCTGAAGGATACCTAGCATACAGCAGACACCAAATACGTATTTGCCAAATGCATGCATGAACCAATCCATCAACAAGTGAGTGAGGAGTGAGTAAGCCCACTAAATGTTGGTGGACTTGGCTTTGCCTGTCATGTAGAACAGAGCCTACTGCACGTAGGAGGCATTAGGAATGAAAGCCCATGAGCTAGTCAATGCTGGACAAGGAATAAAAGGCAGCAGGTGGGGTTAGAGCCGGAGGTCTGAGCTATGCTCCTTGCTATTCCAAGAGCACCAGCTGCTGCTCTCTCCAGACGAGCTCTGCTAGGCCACTTCAGAACTCTATTAGAAAGACACGTTAAAGCTTTGAACTCTGGGGGTGGAGATCCTATGCACAGGCCAAAAGCTGGTGAACAGAAGAGCCAGCAAGAAAGCTCCGCACATCTCTCCATTACAGTGACCAACCCACTCTCAGTTTGGATAAGAAATCTTCATTAGTCACCCAAATGCCTGCAACACACTTGAACATGTAAGTTCACAGAGGGTCACCCTTGAACTCTGGCTCCTAGGACTGTCGGGGCACATGGTGGATATGCAAGAAATATTTCCTGTGTGAAAGGTTACACTGACTCCTCTCCCAGGGAAAGATCTCATGCTATAAGAGACTCTCACACCCCAAATATTCGTGGGAGCCTGTGTTAGAAAATAATCTCCCCCAAACACCCAATGTTTACACATGTAAAAGACAAGAAGGAAATGCACCAAATATTAACCATGGCCTTCTATGGCTTTGAGAATGTGGAAGCCTTTTTCTGCTTGCTATTTTACTTCTGACCTCCCCAATATTCTCTCAGTATGTATTACTTTCACTTTAAAAATGCAGTAAACTTCATTTTTAATTATTTTAAAAATCAAGTAGTTAAACTGTTTTTAACAAGGAGGTTTATTGTACATTGTACCAGAACTGGTATTAATGACCATGGCTTCCGAAAAATGATGTACATTTTAGGAGCACCTGCTAAGGTCATTTGACTTGACATTCCATTTTCTAGCAGCAATATGATCATAATGCCAGGTGCAGGGAGGGTAAGAAAGTGTTGATAAAGTGAATTTCGCAAACTATGATAAGCCAAAAAATTTTAAAAGACTAGAAATAATCACATATTCAGTAAGCTATTACAATGACTTTAGAGCAATGGTTCTTGACTGAGAGCAATCTTGCCTACCCTCAGGGGACATTTAGTAATATCTGCAGATACTTTGGGTTGTCAGAACTGGGGGATGGGCTTCCTACTCACATCTACTGAGTAGAAAACAGAGATTTTGCTCAACACCCTACAGTGTGCAGGCCAACCCCTCTCAATAAAGAATAATCCAACCCCAAATATCACCAGTTTTAAGGTCAAGAAACTCTTTATTTATGTTTTTAGAGTAGTAACACTCCATCCTCCTCATTAAAAATGTTTCCACAAGAACACATGTAATTAACGAGAAAGATTAAAATGGAAAATAGGAAGCAACTATGGTGGTAGTCAGTGCAAAGATGATGGGATAACAAAGTAAAAAGTATTAAGCAAAGAAAGCAGATTATTTTATGATGTTATAGCTCACTAAGGCATGGAGAAGTCCCTCCCTATATATGTTTTATTTCCCAGCAGAAAGAACCAGATAACACCCACTGTTCTCCTGGCACAAAACCTCTTTACTCCTAAATGGCCCTTCTAACAGATCTGACATTTATGTTCTTATTCAGTCCTGGACGTAGATCCCTTTCTGCAAGTAAGCATCTTCCACATGCTGGAGAATCATCATTAAATCATCCACCAGACAAAAAAAATCAGAGTTCCCTTAACTCCTGCCCATAACTCTAACTTTCCATCCCTTTAATCATCTTTGTGGCTTCCCACTGAGTCCTCTCTCAACCGGTCCTCACTTAATTGCAGAACTCAAGACTTGGAAGAGCCTGAGCCCTGCTGAGCAAGGAAAGAGCTTCATATTTGCAAATGGCACTGAGGGGTAAAGTCCCATTTACCAGGAATTTGAACAGGGGTCACATATGGCCCTGTATGCTAGTGTGTAATAGTGAAGAGGGCCATGCTTCCAAGATGGTGCCAGTGAATTATTCTCTAACAAAGACGACAGCCATGGTTGTCACATGAGCAGCTGCTACAATTTTTAACATGACCTATAAGAAAAATCCTGATTTGCCTTGTTTACCATTCTTTTCTTATCCAGACTCTCTCAGATCTATTCTACAATTTTTGCTCCTAATTCCCCTGAAAGCAGAATCTGCATGGGATCATTACTAACTAAATGCTAATGTCATATTTCCATATTCACAAAAGGGTATATATAATTTTGCTAATATAGGTCACACATTTCTCCACCCGAGTACAGAGAGTCTTGTATTTCCACAGACCAGGAAAACAGCTTTTCTGATTGCTCAGAATGAAACACTCCTTGCCTTTCCACAAACCATGTAAATAGCAGCTTCTATACTATCCTTGGTCTGATTGAAAGCATATAGGTATTATTTACACTGTGTGTTGCCTCTTCAGACATTCCAAACATAGCTTCGAGGGGAGCACTCAGTTGGCAAGCTTAAATTTCTTCTCTAACTGGTTGATGACAATTGCTGCTTCCCACTTGATTACAGTAATGGCTTTCAGCAAAATTAGTAAACTGTCTCTTAGCAGGTGTGCCTGGAGCTACACAACAGGTAATGGATTCTATGACATTTATTACTTTATTTTTTTTTAATTTCAACCTTTGCTTAAAGGATTTTAGGGATTGAATACATTTTTTACAGGTTGCTGATTACATTATTTTAGAACAAACCCAACCTTCTTTACAGCTTTTTAAAATTTTTTGTTTTTTTATAAGATGATATTTATGGATAAAAGGCACCTACCTGTTAAGCAACAGGACCTATAAGAGAAGCCTCACTGAGCACTTAAGCACAAATGTGCTATCATGTCTAAAACAGACAATCAGTTATTGCTCTGTGACAGGTAAATACGTTTGAGCAATAACCTAAAATTACAGGATATAGTTTATCTAAATTTATTTTATAAAGCCTTCGATGAACACACTTTAAAGATAGCTCCAAAGCTATTTAACATGTGAAGAGATTTGGGAATTCAAAGGGAGAGCCTGAGAGATAGTCAACAAAGGGTAGGGTGAAACAAAGGGTTGTCCAGTGGGGTGTTCTGCCTTCATACCCAGGTGAGTCCCACTGACAAATTCCATCAACACTCTGAAAAATGGAATATATAGTAAAATCATTGGTTGCACACCTCGGCCACACCATGGGCCCCAGCGTACAGTGAGATACTGGGATGGTATAGAGGCCACAGGGCAGGCACGTGAGCAGGATGGCATTTGTGAATGTCATGCATTGCAGACACACTCGGATGCTCCCTGCCCCGCTGCATCAGGAGGTCCACTGGGACTCCAACGGAGCGAGCCCCCCGAGGCTCACTGCTCCTCCTGGCTGGGGCTCCAACCATTCACACCCAGGCTTTGCTCTTTGGAATCCTTCTCTTCCTATTCCCCCTCTAATGCAATCATTGCTAGAATGATGGGGCGCACAGGCATGCTTGTCTGAGCCACCTATGTTCAGGACACCCCACCCGGGCATGGGCCCCTCCCTCCTCTTCCATCTCACCAGCCTACCCCCCAGCCCAGCTGATTTTAGTTAGCACACGAGGAGGAAAAACGTCACCCAGAACTGACATGACTTCTGCTCATTAACCCACTTGGGCCTCAAACTAGTGGAATGGGACGTAATGTCATAAAATGAAGTAAAAGGCTTGTGTGGACCCAAGGGAGGCACCCAAGGCAAACAGCATACCACCTCAGTAGTTAGCCGGCCTGAAAGTCTGTCTGACAGCAGCTCAGCCCAGGCCAGCCCTGCCTTCCCATAGCTTCCTTCTCAGCTTTGCCCAACAGTGGATTCCATAAAAGGCAGCCACCGATGCTTGCCTCCTAGCAGGACTGGGGCCCAGGTAGCTGCTTGCAAACATGGTGGTCATCTTCCAGCTAAGCATGCCCTCTCAAGACACTTCTCCTCACTGTGTGATGTGGGAACCAGCAGCACAGCATTACTGGGGAGCTTGGCAGAAATGCAGAGTCTTGGGCCCCACTGCAGATCTACTGAGTCAGAATCTGCACTTCAACCAGATCCCCAGGTGACGCAAATACACATTCAAGTATGGGATCCCCTGGCTGAAAGCCCTCTGACCTTTGTACATTCTCTCCACCTTCTTTGAGAATATGAGGGGTACAGAGACTGCCATTTGTCTCTGAGTAGCACGAGAGCTTCCTTCTCTTTACTCACTTATGGCAAGAATCAGTTCCCTCCTCTGGGCAAATCCAATGAGGCGCTCAGAGTCCCTGGAGACCACCACAGGGAAGCCGTTGTAGTCGGTCTCTTTGATGAGCGTCTCCACATCCTCCACGGTCATGCTGTCCTGGGTGAGCACAGACAGTGGTGGCTCTCCCCGCCGAGGCCGCATGACATCAGTGGCCAGGGTGCGGTGAGTGAACTCATCCTTCACATCCAGAAATGGGTACCCATTTAAGTGGATGTGGGCCTCGTAGATGCCTTCTTTCCCAAAGGCATCAGCCACCCACTTGCTGGTCACAGCTGCTGCCATCAGGGGTACAATGTACTCTAGACCACCCGTTAATTCAAACATGATGACCACCAATGACACCGTCATCCTGGTAACTCCACCTGTAAGTGAAGAGAGGAGTGAAATTCTGAAACTCAACCCCAGATACTCAGGAGGACAGGAATTGTGGAAGCTGTCAAGTTGATTGTAGTAAATTCTCCTGACAGGGGAGTATGTAAGGAGACAGTCCCATCCTGTCTCTTCTAAGGAGACAGTTCCACATGTGGCCCATGTTCAGACCTCTGGAACTGCCACCAGGCTGTGTTAAATGCAGCCTCGCATCAGGGAGCCATGAGTCACATCTGACTGGACAACTTGGTTCTCCAGTCACCTAGGACCACATGCCTTGCTTTTTGGTAAGTGGATCCTATATGGGCTATGCAGGTTTCTGACTAAGCAAGCATGAAACCTGGACCCCATAAGCTGGAAAACTGTAGAGACTCTTATGGGCTATAGACTGGAGAGAGACCCACCCTTGTGTCCTTTGGTATTCAAAGAGAGAATCCATACCAACTCCTCATCTTCCAATGAGCTTTAACTGGGGTTTGTTGACCTCAGCACTAAGAAACATTTGGGACCAGATCATTTTCTGTTGTGGGGGCTATTCTGTGCACTACAAGATGTTTAGCATGATACATGGCCCTCACCCACTAGATGTAAATAGGACTTCTAAGCCCAGGTGTGACAGCCAAAAATGTCTCCTCTATTGTCCAGTGTTTCTGAGAGGCACAATAGCCCCCAGTTCAAAACCACTGTTCTAGACGGTACGGCTGCCAGATGGTAGAGACTCCATCAGCATCCATGAATCCCTGAGTGATGACTAAGTGGAGAGAAACCATCTGCTAACTCACACTATACACCCACACACAAGAAATGATTCTCCTTATTTGTAGCAGTTATGATCTATAAAGTCACCACAAACACTGAATTACCAAATTCTGAATCATTGCCCTAGGGGAAACATAAGGTGAGGGTTCTGTGAGCCTCTGGTCACAGCATTTTTGTCAAAATCAATACAAAACTTTATGCAGAGACTTTGTGTTTCTCTTCAGAGCCATCTTAGTTAATATAGGTGGCTGATTCTTTACTGTTGAACTCAACAGCCAACAGCACTGTGTAATGTGTGCCTGAAGGAAGCTTCTGTAGCACATGTATTTTCTCCTTAAGGCAATCCCAGGCTTCTCACCCTGGGAACCTCAGACAGCACCTTGGTGCTTTGCTTGGAGCCCATTGTAAACAGCAAATCATTAACAAGATGCGCAAAAGTGCAAAACATATGGCAGGCACTAACTAGGCCATTAGAAGGACATTTGTGTACAATCTGAGAGCTGAACCAAGCTGAACCAAGTAGACCTTCAACTTGGTCAGCCTCCAATGAGGACAGACACGTGTGTTGGATAACTCCAATTTTCCACTGCTCTGTGACTGTCCAAGAGTGACTGTGAAAGCCCCACAGATATTGACTTAGGGATTATAAACAAATGTTAGCAAGTTGACAAATTCCCAATTATGGATACCACGAATAATGGGGACCAACTGCCTATCACAGACCAGATGTAAGCCTGGGTGTGTTGAGCCACTGAGATTTAGGGGCTTACTTATCACAGCAGCACGACCTCTCCTATCCAGAGAATGCAAGTACTCATGTATTCCTTGTGACCAGTCCTCTAACCAAGATCAGCCTTTGTGTTTGGTCTGTCTCAGCTTTCCTTGGATCTCTCACCCCCACCTCATCCCACCTCTGGCTGTACCTAGGCAAGCTGCCGCTCCCACCATTGCGTAAAGTCCTGGGGTGACACAGTCCGCTCCAGGCCTGCACCAGTTCCTGAAGATGATCCAGTCGTGGTGATGGTAAGCCAGCTGTTCCACGCCAATTCCCACCATCCTGCCCGCCATGGCTCCCACAGCCATGCTGGGGATGAAGAGGCCTGACGGGATCTCCAGGGAGAACACACAGAAAAGAAGTATGAGGCAAGGTGTCCGGATTCCCACCTCCTCACCCCCAGTATACAGTATGCCCCCTCAAAACGCTTGCATTTTGCTTCAGTCCTCAAAGGAGGTGCAGCCCTTCAAAGTAGGTCACCTGGGAAAAGGTGGGACAAGCGATTGCTCCTACTTAGTCAGCCCTATCTACCGTGACTTGGAGAGAATGCAATTTTACACTTTCATTTGCTGGCCTTCAAAAGCCGGCCTGGTCTGCCTGCTGTGGATTAAAGAATGATAAGCCCCACTGCAAACAGCATTCAGAGCAAGCATCTGTCACTTGAGATACTCACCACTTTCTTGCTCCCCTTGCGTGTCCTCCAAATTGGCTTTTAAAATTAAATGTCAAGCCACAGCACGAAAATGGAAAAGAAGGGCCCGCGACTGTTCACAGGTAGAATAAAGAAGCTGAAAGCAGCAGTGCAGCCGCCTGGATCTTCTAAAAAGCTTTCAGCGGCTTACTGCCCTCTTGAATACAGAGTGGTCAAACACCTTTCAGGGGCAGGGGGTAGGGCCCTTTTCCTGACAAAGTCCATTTTCCAAAAAGTGCAGTGAATATTTTCAAGCCAGGTTAGAGGTAGCAAAGACATAGACTATGTGAACGAAAAGATCTTGGTAATAGTGTGCTTTCTATTTTGCTGTGTGAAAATACATTCTAATTTGTCTAGTGATCAGACATGCACTACGGGGAACACACATGAACACTGCACATGAATGCAATGCTGAGTGGGAGCTGCATTTATGCCCAGTCTGGATTGTCATCAATCTCAGGATGCAGGTGGATCTTTAACCACATTCCAGGTAAGTCTGGATCCTTGAGTGTGATTTCTAGAATGTGGGACACTCCTAAGGAAATTGTTCCTTTCCGAGCTGCCCCTTATGCCACGGCCACTTAATCCCCTGTAACTTCCAAGTCAACTTCTCCCAGTAGGCACCAGAAGATGTGGCCAGTGTCTTCCTGACACACAAAAATAAATCCCTTTGCTGGGAGAGGATGGATCGGAAACAGTCAGTTGTTTAAGAAAGTCTGTCCAACCTTGTTCTCAGGGCAAAAATTCGGGTTTGTGTTTGAGCATCACACACTCAATGTAAACTCCATACGTGGTTTCTAACACTTTTTAAAAAAGAAGCAAATGAAAAAATAGCACACAGAGAGCAATGGTGACGGAAAACGATGGGGGTTCTGGAGGAGTCTCGACGTTCTGCTCCTGGTGCTGGGTGCTGGTTACACAGGCATGTGCTGTTCCTAGATGTTCACCAAGCTGTACGCATCTCTATCCCATTACTGTGCTCTGAGCCTTGGCTTTTTCACTTGCAAAATGCGATGAAAACCTCTACTTCATACACTTGCTGTTCATTGAAAGCATAGTTTCTTACTAATTAAAAGAATGTCCAGTGCCCATCACAAGACAACATTCAATAAAGGTCAATTCCCCTTTCCTCCCATCACAATTTTATTTTAACAAATCGGGTACTATCCCCAGAAGGACATGGGTGCCCCCCCACCACATCTTCCTCCCCCTTCATTTACCTTCATGCCAAAGGTAAATATGGTAATGACGATTTTGAAGATCAGCGCCAGGGCCAGCTGCCACATGGCTGTGTATACCCCGAGCCCAGCCGGCCGGTCAGGAATGTCATCCACGGGCCGGGTCATGTTGGGGTCGTTGATATAGTCACAGAGCTGCGAGGACTCAAGGGCCCCGCAGTCATTGAACAGCTCAGAGATGAGCTCGCTCGTGCTCTTGCGTGTGTAGGGGTTGGGGTAGGCGATGATGGCTGTGATGGCAGTCACCACAATGACCTCCAGCACCGGGTACTTCCCCAGCTTGGTGGTTTTGCGCCTCCTGCACCAGGCGATGTTGCAGCGGATAAAGAGGGTTCCCCACAAGCCCCCAAAGACCCCCAGCAGGATGAAGGGGAAGAGCTCGGCCATGTACCAGGGCGTGTGATATTCCACATAAAAGAGAACAAGGCGGCTGTTCCCAAAGGGGTTGATGGATCGCAGCGTGAAGGCCGCCACCAGGGCCGCAAAAAAGGACCTCCACAAGGTCTTCAGGGGAAAGTAGTAACTAACCTGAGACAAACAAGGAGAAAATTAAAGACGGGCCAAAGATGGGCAGTACTCACTTCCTCAGTCTAGGTTTAATTATGACCCAAAGGCACCAACAAAGATACTTAAAGGACTCCGTGACTCTGTCTAAAAGTGGAGTGGATACCAGTCAAGGTGTTTTTGAGCTATGTTTAAGAGACATAAAAATATTGAATCATAATTCTGTTTATGCCACAGAGACCCTTCTAGAAGCAAATAAACCTCTGAATTTGATTCTACAGACAGCAGACTAGACCAAGGGTTGGACTAGCCCAGCAAATGTAGCTGCATGCCACATGAGTTAAGGATGAATTTTACAAGTTTAAATGGTTCATGGGGAGTATTTTGTGACACGTGAAGTATTCAACAGAACGCTATTTTGTGACACGTGAAAATCATATAAAACTCAAACTTGAGGGTTCATAAGGAAAGTTGTGTTGGAATGCAGTCATGCCCAGTCACATATATGTTGTCTGTGGCACCTTTCCTGCTACATGGCTGGGTTGAGTCGCTGTGACAGAGACCAGGAAAGCCACAAAGCCTAAAATATTTCCTATCTGGCCCTTTAGAGAAAATGTTTGCTGACCCGTGGAATAGATCTTTCGGGTTGCCAAAACCAAAAATGCTTAATTAAATTGGCTATGAGAAAGAGAGGATACTGCAAGTCTTCCCCAAAATGTATATTGGCAATTTTTTTTTTCAAGCAATTCTCAAAAGCAGATATTTAGCAGTAAAATCATGGCTCCTTATTGAGCTACAGGAATCATGGCAATACTCCTTTGAGTCTAGTCCTCAGAGGGCTTTCGACAGAGGCCTACTGCTGAGCTAACCATGCACGTATCCTTCAGCCCTCAAAACACACTCCCACAGCCTCCCGTGCTCACCTCTTCTAGACTGAAAAGCACACCCCCAATTGGAGCACCAAAGGCAACAGAGACTCCAGCTGCAGCCGCCGCTGACAGTACCTGCAAGGCAAAGCATTCTGTGTAGCCCAAGGCCTTTCACAAAAACAAGTGTGCGCAGGGGGGAGTGCAAGGGGGCACCCTCCAGAAGATGGGAGCTGGACATGCTCACCTCGCGCCTCTTGCCCTCATTCTTGCTGTACTTGGAGAAGAGGCTGCTGAAGAAGTTGCCACAGCAACAAGCCACATGTACCAGCGGCCCTTCCTTCCCAAGGCTCAGGCCCGAGGACACCACCAGCACCAGGGTGACAGTCTTGATCAGCAGGGTCCACTTACCCAAGTAGCCCCTGATGATGAAGCCACTCAGAATGGTCTTGATCTGCAACAGAGGATGGAGAACTAGGACACGTGAGCTACTTCAATGCCGCAGCTGGGAACTACTTCCCTTGAGAAGCAGTTCTCGAGCTTAGAGTCACTAAATCACATGGAGGAGAGCCTGCTTTCAGTTTGACTTAGCTATACTTTGACATTAACTGAACTTATATTAATATAGAATTTTATGTTCTATTCATAGAAATGGGAAACAATGCACAATACATCTTAATTATTCCTAGAGTAGTAAGATCATAACAAGGGCCAAAGAAGTTCATTATCAGGGTCTCGTTTTATTCATGCATTTTATCCTGTTCACATTAACCCTCTGTTATGTTGAAAAGAGACATGAAGCTATTGATTTAACTGTTCACTTTTGACTATTGAAAGATGTTCCAGATGGAGACAAAGCACAGAGAACAAAATGGAACTTCAGGTCGGGTCTGTGGCCTAAATGCAGCCCGTTGCCTATTTTTGTATGACCCACATGCTCATTTCAAGAGTGCTTTCAACATTTTTCTATGTAATGTGTAAACAAGACTCCTAGCCTTTTCGTGAGAAGAGTGGCTCGATTTTGCCTGTTGGCTTACAAAGCCTAAAATACCGACTCTCTGTCCTTTTCCAGAAAAGTCTGCCAACCCCTGCTGCGGGCCACGGGTCTATGGGTGTTTACAGCCAATTCTTTCAACTTTTCTGTACATGTGAAAATATATTTAATATCATGTTGCAGAAAGGAGATGCTCAATAGTTTCTAATAACACACCTCTGGGGGATTTGAAGATGTTTGAATCCATGACGACCTCCTTTCTTCCAACGATTCCTGCCCCCTTGTGTTAAAAAGGACTTTGACTACTGGTAAAGTTGTCTTGCACCATTTTCAGACCGGCCACATTTTGTAAGTGCCAAATAATGGCGTTCTTCCTAAAGGTGGACATGAATTTGCCTAATGCTTTTAGACTTCAACTAGGAGCCAATCTCAGTGACAAACTTCATCTGTTGGAAAACTGTATTCTTTGGGATACAGAAGCATCACCAGTGGCTAAAGAACTTCTTACCTGAATGGCTGAAATGGAGTGAATGTTTACTGCTGAGCTACCAATTTAGAAACTTGCAATTATAAATGAGTTAAGACACCGAGCGAACCAGCTAATACAATTCACGGTCAAGTTCCATTCTCCCGTTGTATAATATCAATACATACTGGGACAATGTTATCTCTTGTTGGTGTTAGGACATTTATGTCACTTCAGAGTGCCTCCAGGTGGGCATTGCTCTGCCAGGGAATCAATTTCTCAGAAGCTGTTACAGTCCTTTTCAAGCTTAGCACTCACTGGACTCACCGAAAGAATAAAGAGCCCCGGAGATGTGATGTCATTGATCTGAAGTGTATCCTGGGCCTGAGGATTTTTACAGGCTTCCCAGGTTATTCTAACATGCAGCCCAGGTAGAAAAGCACTGACTGCTGTGTTCCCAAAAAGAGCAGTACAGGTAACCCTAATTTCTCCACAGTTAAGGGACCAACCTGAACCCCTCTTCGGCATCACGTCACCTTTGGCAATTTGGAGAGGGTCATGAAGTGAGCTGATCCTCAGAATTTTAAAGGGGTGTGAATGGACCATTTTCATCTCAGAATTGATAGCGATCTGTTTTTTATTTCCAGGGGAAAGATCAAGAGCAAGTGTGCAGGCACGTGTGCACAAAGAACTTGAGGTGGTCAGGTGTGCTGGTGGCACAATCAGATGGTGTCTCCTGCACTAGCCTTTAACTAATGGCAGCCAAACTCGCAGTGGTTATACTGGCCTTCAACTAGTAGTACTTGGCCTATTTGAGCCTGTGCTTTGGGCATCTGTGATCCGTTTATTTAAGGGATGTTTTATTATGCCTGCCACAATCCTGCCCTTTTGTGTTACCTTGAATAAAATGATCTCAAATTTTTTGTCAGTTAGCTAATGTGGATTTGGACCCTAGGGGAGAGTTTAAAAGCATAATACCATTTAGAAAATGACAAGTATCTCAATTACCTGAGCCTCCGCCAGCCATGACATGTGGTGAATGGAACAATGTAATAGGTATTTTGTAATTCTCTACAATGATTTTTATAAAATTGTCATGATCAAATTAAGGACTAAAGAAAGCAAATTCATTCCCAGGAAATGCCAAAATCCAATCACTTGCTTTCATTTGAATAGAGACCAAGTCAAGCAAGGCTTTAATGAGATGAACTTCAGCAGATTGGGGACTCAGTAGGGTTAACTTTAAACCTTTTCTGGTAAACAAATATCTGTGAGAGTGTTCGGGTTTTGTCATGAAAGACCAACTCAAAGTAAGTTCTAACAGGACAGGATTAACTGTGTCTTTCTTACACAGTTAATAATGGTTCTGATAATGAAGCAAACGAAATAGAAAGTGGGCCCCCCTTGCATGGTCCTCCCTAAATCCCCAAGTCCAAGAACGAGCATTCACTTGTAAATGTGCTTTAGACAGCTTAGACAAGAGTATTTCCTACACGGAACATCATTCTCTAAATTTGCATTTAAAAAAAAGTGTTTCCAAAGGAATCTTCATTCTAAGTAATCAAAATGCTTCAGAGGCAAATGCTGGGGAGGACAAGCAATTTTTAATACTTTTTAAAAGATTTTATTTATTTATTTTTAGAGAGGGAAGGGAGGGAGAAAGAGAAAGAGAGAGAGAGAAACATCAATGTGCGGTTGCTGGGGGCCATGGCCTGCAACCCAGGCATGTGCCCTGACTGGGAATTGAACTTGCGATGCCTGATTCGCAGCCCGCGCTCAATCCACTGACCTATGCCAGCCAGGGCACAAGCAATTTTTTAAATGCACACAAGCTCAGTGTGGTCGCTGTTGGTCTGACACTGCACACCCCATGTAGCAGCTTCGAGCGGATCTGCTCAAACAACTCCAGGCACATTTTCTAAGTATCGCAGCGAGTGTCTGCTAAAACCAAGGAGACGGCCCGTATCTGAATTTGAGAGAAGTCATTGTATGTAGTTAGTTGGTCTTGACTGGGAGGAGCTTGTTTTTATCGGGGAACTATTTATTGACATTTACCTTTTACTCTACCCCCTTTGGGAGTACCTACCCCTCCCAAAACTGAGGGTAGGTACTGCACCCTTGGGTTGCAAGTTTCCAGCTCTAGTATAGTAATGACAATGTCGCTGTTACTGAGTCATAATAACCAAAATTGAATTATAAAACCTCTACTGGGTTTCTGATGTTTTAAAAGATGATTGTGAACTCTTTTATGAATGCAGAAACGGGTGGTATATAGTATATGTGGTTAACAGCATACAAATAAAACAAACACCTATGCACCCCCTGCCATGGGTAAGAATGCAGACCTTTGAAAGCCCTGTGTCGGCTTCTTCAGTAGAACCCCCTCCGTCCCCCACTCCGAACACCTCCCTGACTTGCTTTATAGCTTTGGCACGTGTGTGCATCACTGAAGAAGTACTAAAGTATGCTGTTCCATCAATAGCATCCTACTTTATCTATTCTTTTGTGACTTAGTTCTGTCTCTGGACCTCACTGTTTTGCACTTCATCCCCATCAATGCATTCCTTGCATTTTGTCACATAGGAAGCTTTATGCTGAGCATCTTAGCCCTTTTCGGAAAGGCTGCACAGAGAAAGACGCCCACTTCAGATGAAGACCCAGTTCGGGCAGCCCCTCCCACACGGAGCTCAGGTTCCCGCCCCCTGTCTGCAGGATCAGAAGCTAAGCCTGGCACGTCTGCTTCATGGGGGGGGAAGATGGCAGTGCCCATCACACCCTTCAGGGCTGCTTTAAACTTCCTGCCAATTCCCCATTGGCCACCCCCTTATTTTGACAAGGTGGCTTGAATCCGAAAATGCATACCCTTGGCAGCAGGATCCCAAACCGAGATGCCAACAACAATCTGTTCCCTTTAAGGTCCAGGGTGCCTTTACGTCTTAGGTATCAAATAAAATACAGTCACTTCTGCCATCGCATTTGTTTGGAAAACACACATTTGTTCCAATACGTTTCAGGCATTAAGGAAGAACTTGAGCATAACAAATTTCGCGTCTGTTTATGCACAATTTCATCTGGGAGAAACACGGCGTGAACACACAAAAAAAACAGCACCAGCTGAACCCAGCCGTGCAGGAATGCGCAAAACGCACACAGGCACGTGCCTCAAACACCTACCAGGTCACGTGCGCACTAGGGGGCGTGCATGTATCCCTTAACCATTGAACATGTGCAAAATGGTGCTACTGTTTTTACCGGGCTCCTCTTTTTTCCATGTGTCACCAACGAAGTTTCTGCGGGCTGTGCCCCTAAGCCCACTCCGCCAGCAGCTCCGTGTTCATAGTATGCGATGGTGCACAGCATTGGGCTTGTGAAGAATGCAGACTGTGTCAGGGCAGAACTGACTGTATTAAAGAAGTGGGATGGTACTACAGCTGTTTTGGGGGTTCCGGCAGCAATATGTTAACATACACCATCAAAAAGTCAATGTGATATATTCAGTCTTTTTTTTTTTGTATTGTTCCTGAAACAAGACATGTCAAGCTTTTCTTTCGACAATCTTCTAATTACTCCAGCCCTTGCCATGAACCGCCGGGGCCAGCAGCAGTGCTGGCAGCACCAACGAAGCGTGTGGGTGCGGGGAGTGAGGAGGCGCGCGCATCTGTCGCCATAATCGCTCACATCTTGCAACTTACCATCTCCACTGCCTGCGGGCGTGGCTGCGGCACCAACCCAAAGAGAACTGAACTGACTGCTTATAGTGATCACAGAATAACTGAAAGAATTGTTTCTGGCTAAAATGTTCACTGTCTGGGCTTTTCAGGAATTAGCTCAGTGACCGCTATTCTACCAAGAGATCATCCCAAGTTTCAAGTCTAGTCTCAGGCATTCCTCCTGATCGATGAGGTCACTTCCCTCATACTTTGGTTACATGAAAGTGCTGAAAAATGTAACAACTCTGAACTCATGGGGATGCATTCACAGCGCACGCCTTGAATGTGGAATGAAGTTTTGTAAACACCGCTATCGCCTTGTCACCACAAGAGCAAATTGTGGCAACAAACCCCCACTATTGTCTATTTCCACATTACATCATAGATATACTTATGAGCTACTCAAGTGCCACACATATGCGTGTGGTTAATGAATTCTGACTCCACAGGCTTTGAGGGTTATGCGTGGTTTGCAAAGACAAGACTTTAATCATCTGAGAAGCACTAGAGCCTAAATCCCGAATATAGAGATAAACCCTGAGTTCAAGTCCCAGCTGACCAGCTTAGTGACCTAGGGCAAGTTACTTAGCCTCTGTGCGCTGCAGCTCCTCAACTATCAAATGAAGAATAGTAGTACCTACCTCGTAGGTTCATCATGGGGACTCGATGAGTTAAGAGCTGTCAAATGCTTGGAACTGTGCCTGGCCCATAAGTGCTACGAAGTATTTGCCGTTCTCATTATGGGCACAGTAGAAATTCAGCCAGCACTCACCTCCGGTATACCAGAGCCACAGGCGTAGGGCGCAAAGACGCGCACCAGGGAGACAGCCAAGAATGCAAACAGCAAGGCCCACAGGATGTACAACAGGTAATTCAGGATGTAAGCACTGGCACCCTGAACAACAGACACAAAACAAGAGAGAACTGGTGAGCCACAGCAGACCGAGAGCCCCGCTGTCCACTGTGACAGCAGAAGCACGGAACAGATCAGGTAGCTTCTGTGTGGGTCCCGTGTCAATGAAAGGCAGTGTTGCTTTTATCAGCTCTTGCTACTGCCATACTGGCATCCGCACACGCAGCCAGGGCTTCTCCGCAAGCAGTTTGCACAAGCCTTCCACCAGGTGATACAGCTCAGTGACCAGAGAAACTAGGAAGGAGACTTACTTTGAATCACCATTGCGCTCGAGTTCATGAAAGGCGTGATGCAGAAAGTTCTGTATTCAAGCGCCTGCAAGGTCTGTTTTGTCCTGTCTACATGGGTCAGCCTCCCTTTGCTTTCACTGAGGCCACAGCCACGGCAGCCACAGTGCCGGTGACTATGAGAACTGCTGCTTAAATGTGTGCCTTGGACCCCCGGTGGTCAGCACCCCCATGTCCCCTGGCGGGACAGCCATACAGAGTCCCAGGCCCTGCCCCAGAGCTGCTAAATGAGACACTCCAGAACAGGTGACTGGCCAAGTATCTCCAGAGGGTTCGGATACGGGCTAATCCTAGAGAGGCACTTCTGCAGGGGAAGTTTGATCATCAATCAAAGTGAGTCATTGAACCATTTCTCCCAAACTGTCTGATGTGCGGAGAAAGCTTTCTCAAGAAAGCACACAGTTTGGGCTCGCTGGCACTGAGGACCTGGTCCACTGGGTGGAGACCACATTTCCTTAGGCCTCTGCTTCTTGCCGCCATGTGGATCACTCCAGGGAGGGGGAGGGGAAGCAAGGTCACCTGCAAGTCAGGCCATGGACACAGCCGCACGTGTGCCTATTAAATGCAGAAACACGTTCCAGGAGACTGCTCGGCCTTTACAATCACACACATTCACACCTATGTGGTGGGGAAGCGGACCGAGGAACACATGTCACCCACTTAAAAACGTACCTCTTTCAATCTGAAAATAACTTCTCACTCTTGCTAACAGTAATTCTTTGAATCAAAACATAAATCTTAAATCTCTAGAGTATAAAACTGTAAAATGACGGAAAAGATGGACAGCCATATTCCCCCCCCCCAAAAAAAACATACTGCAAGTGGGAGGGAAAAAATAAAATAGGGCGCTCAGCCAGTTTTGCCTGTCCACTGCCGTCAACCCAAGAGAATTTATTTTGGAAGCAATGGCGAGCACTGAGAACGTGTGAGATTTCAAGATCCTGTCTACTTCTGAGAGTTGAAAAAATTAATGTGCAGTTCTCCAAGAACAGGTTTAGCAAAACGGCAAAGGGCACTGCAAAGGTCTTCAGCTGAGCTAAGCCCGCCGGGCACGAAAAGGGGGGGCGAGCCCTGGCTGGTGGGGCTCCGTGGATTGCGTGCTGGCCTGCAAAGTCAAAAGTGGGGACAGGAGGAAATAAAGAAATAGATGACATCTCCCAAGAATAGTTCTAGCTTGAGTGGTCTTCACATTACCCTTCATGTGAATCTTGGCAGCCTAGCTCCCCTCACCAGGGTTTCTGCTCTGTCGGTGACCCACAGTCATTGTTATAACTACTGCCTTTGGTGAGACATTCACTCCTTTCCCAAACTAAGATTTTTAATCAGATCTGAAGCTTGTTGTGCCACGAACGCCAGCTCCCAGTCTGTGATTCACCACCACACCCTGTGCCCGGACATTCCCGCCATAGAAGACCCAGACACATGCGATGCCACCTACTCATAAAATGTATTGGGAGATAACTGAAGCCACATGACATACCACCCACGCCTGCTAAGATGGTTAGAACCAAAAACAAATAATAACAGGTGCGGGTAAGGATAGGCACAATTTGGAACCCTCATGCATTGTGGGTGGGTGTGAAATGGTGCAGTCCCTTTGAAAACCAGTCTTGCAGTTGCTCAGAAGTTAAACATAGAATTTCCACATGACCCAGGAATTGTCCTAGTACAGGGGCATCAAACTCATTTTCACCGGGGGCCACATCGGCCTCGTGGTTACCTTCAGCCACTTCAAGGGGCTGAATGTAATGTTCGGACTGTATACATGTAACTGCTTGGATGAAACAAGGTGGAGGGCGGGATTTGGCCCGCGGGCCTTGGGTTTGCCACCTATGTCCTAGTAGCTATATACCCAAGAGAAATGGAAACATGGCCATACAAAAACTTATACACAAACGTTCAAAACAAAATCATTCACAATAGAGTGAAAGTGAAAGCAACTCATGTTCATCAACTGAAGCATGGATAAATAAAAAGTGGTCTTCCCATACACTGGAATATTATTAAGCCATAAAAAGGAACAGAGTACCAAAATTGTTATTTTTTAAAATCATATCTTATTCCTTTTTTTTAAAGATTTTATTTATTTATTTTTAGAGAGGGAAGGGAGGGAGAAAGAGAGAGGGAGAAACATCCATGTGCGGTTGCTGGGGGCCGTGGCCTGCAACCCAGGCATGTGCCCTGGCTGGGAATCGAACCTGCGACCCTTTGGTTCGCAGCCCGCACTCAATCCACTGAGCTACACCAGCCAGGGCCATTATTCCTTAATTAGAAGGTATAAAAATCAACCTTATTTCTTCAGGAAACCACTCTTGGTAAAAAAAAAATACAACCAAACACAAGACTTTTAGAAATATATACAAGCCTTGTGCACATGAAACAGTAGGGAAGCATTTTTCTTTTTTTTACTATTTTATATATTTTATTTTTAGAGAGAGAGGAAGGGAGAGAGGAGAGGGAGAGAAACATCAATGTGTGGTTGCCTCTCACGTGGCCCTCACTAGGGACTCAGCCCACAACCAGGGCATGTGCCCTGACTGGGAATCGAACCTGCGACTCTTTGGTTCACTGCCCGCGCTCAATCCACTGAGCTACACCAGCCAGGGCAGGGAAGCATTTTTCAACTGAATCTTGAACACTAGAGCGAGAAAAGGCGAAGTCACACCAGTATGAAGCTGTGGGTGATCGATAGAATAGATACCTGAAGGTGAAAGCGCAGACACATTCGCACAGTGCCCAGCAGTGCCCCAAAGCACCTGTTGGATGGCAGGCGTTTCCAGTCAAGGCCCTGCCCGGAAACCCACCTCTGACTGATTCACCAACAGCTCGGACCATTTCTGCCACAGGGGACACTTGTCCCTGTCCTCAAAAGTGGTCTCAGTGGAAGTCCAGCAGCACTGCTCGTGGCTGTACCAGAAGGCAGACAGACAGATTCCCTCCTTCAAGTCGGTCATCCAGTCGACAGCGAGATCGATGACCCCAGCCAAGGTACCTGGAAGAGACAGCAAGAGCCACCTAGAGGGACTGCCACATGATGACAGGGCGAGAACGCACAGCATGGGGCCATTGCAGGGCCAGCAGTCAGGAAGGCCACACACCAGAGAAGGACGTGAACATGCCCCAGGCTGACGCACATATAGGAAGTTTCTTCATTAGCCAGGAAGTCCCTCGAGCATTTAGGATGTGGGCAAGGCAGTGCCCAGCCCAGTGAGGTACAAAGGCCGATGATATGCGGTCTTTGCATGCCTTTAACCATGCAAGAGAGGAAGACACGCAGGTCTCACTCATCACAAGCCACCGGGGCCAGGCAGCTTGCAGAAGACATCTCCTACAAATTTCAGGAATCGGGGACATGCGCGCTACAAAGGATGTAGCCCCACAGCAGCTTCTGGGGCAGGGTGCTGGGATCACACACATTCACAGTTCCCAGGAAAATGTGCCAGCCCAGACAAAACGGAGGCGTGATGACTAGCAGCCTCCTTATTTAAGTCAGGTTTGGCCACCAAATGGGAACTAAACTTGGCAAATCTCAAGTATTAGAACTCTGTGGATTTTTAAAATTCTTGTATAAGGGGTTGTAGGTCTATATAAGTAAATAACTACTTTAAAGGTTGAGAGAAGTAGGATATGAGAGACTATACAGTAGGCCACAAAGGGCTACCTTGGGTCTCTTTCTAGGATAAGCCACTCTAGTCTTTTATGACGGCAAGGAACACTCTCAGCCTACTAAATTTTCCGAACTTTGAATATCACCTCCCCACCTGTACCAACACCGAAAGCGTCCATATACCTGCATCAGGGCTCCCCCTCCCCCGAGTTCTTCCCGTTACATTAAAGCTACATGTTGTTCTTAGGAGGACGCCTGAATTCTCAACAGGTCCCGGACTTGAACAGCTGGTCTGTTGTACCTCTCCAGCCTCACTGCTTTCCATCACTAACTCCCATACCTACCCACCCCATGTTCGTGGAGCCCAGCAGCTCTGCTCTTTACACCAGCTCAGGCAGCACTGCCCTCCCCGCACCTGGCAACCTCCTATTTATCTTCCAGATTCCGGCACTTACATCACCTCCTTCAGGAAGCCTTTCCTGATTTCCTAAATTTGGGCTAGGTGTACTTCCCAGGGATTCACCTATCACCATACGTATCATATCCTGATACCATGGTTTTATAACGTAATATCTAATATATAATGTCATTATTACAATATATATGTATTATACAAAGGCATATCTCATGTTATCGAGCTCTGCTTTATTGCACTTGACAGATGTTGCATATTTTACAAAACCATGCAAGAGAGGAAGACACCCAGGTCCTGAGGCCACAGCCCAGGAGAAGACAAAGGAAGACAAGACCCTCTTCCAGCATAAAGATTATGCCCTGCTTTTATTGTGATATTTGCTTTATTGCCACATTTGCTTTATTGCGGCAGTCTGGAACTGAATCTGCATTATCTCTGAGGTATGCCTGTTTACTCCCACCAGAGTCTAAGTTGGGGCAGGGGGAGAGTCTATTGTCTGGTTTGCATGCCACCGTGGGGATCAGACCAGACGTCCATGCCCTGTGTCCGTTCTAAGTGGGCAAAGGCCATGTGCCTTATCCATTGTTGTGTGCCTTCAGGTACACAGTTAGAAAGATTTATCCATCTTGAGTGAAGGAGTGTAATAAATGAATGAACATCAGAAAACTCAGGTCCATCAGTTTACTCTGGCCACCAGTTGAGCACCTGGTTACTATACACCAGTCACTATGTCATGCCCTGAGCACACAGTAGTGGGCAAAGCTGACTCAGGTCCCTGCTTTCATGGGTGGAGAAAGAAACACTAAACAAAATAAGTAAGTACATCAAGAGCTCTGTTTGAAGGTGATTAGTAGTGGAGAGGAAAATAAAAGGGTGGGCAAAAGTAGATTCATATAATACAAATAAATAATATAATGATGAATAAGTAAATGATAATACCAGGATAAACGCTGTGTTTGGTATACTCACCACTGTAAATCTACTTTTGCCTACACCTGTATAGCGCACTACAACGCTGTAGATGCTTTGGAAACTAGTGTGGAAGTTGCTCAAAAAGTTAAATATAGTTACCATCTGATCAATCAGTTCTACTCTAGGCGTACACACCAAGACTTGCACACCAGTGTTCAGAGCAGCACAACATCAAAAAGTAGAAGCAACCCACTTGCCCATCAACTGCTGAATGGAAAAAGAAAATGTGTTACATTCATACAATGGAATGGTATTTGGCAACAAAAAGGAGTGGGGTATGGTACAGCGTGGATAAACCCTAAAAACATCATGCTGAGTAAATGAAGCCGATCACAAAAGACTAAATATTGTATGATTTCATTTACATGGAATGTCCAGAGTTGGCAAACCATAGAGAGACAGAAAATAGATGGGTGGTTGCCAGGGGCAGGGAGGAGGCTGGGACACTGGAGCTTGACAGCTAAACAGTATGGAGGTTCTCTGAGTGTGATCAAAATATTGTAACACTGACTGCGGTGATGGCTGCACAACTCTGTGAATAGACTAAAAACCACTGAACTGTATACTCTAACTGCATGAAGTATAGTATGTACATTATACCCCAATAAGGCTGTTACATACAAACATACAGCACAGACGTCCAGTGGGCAAGGGGGATGAGGCTCAGACAAGGAGAGGTGCACTTTTAGAAAAGGTGATCAGGGAACACCTCAACTCAAAGATGACAGCTGAACAAAGAACTAAAGAAAGTAAGGGAACAGTCCTGCTGATAGCCAGGGAGCAGACACCCCAAATTCCACCACCATTCATTCACTCGTCGTCACATCATCCTGCACCCAATCTTCCAGGCTGACTCCGCTTCTCACAGTGCTGGGAGTTTCCGCTCCCTTCTAAGTATGAAATAACTACGACGTCCCGTGGTGACTTCCGATAAACACTTCGTTTGTGAGGCAGCAGCGACACCCAGTGGTTACTTTGAATAAATGGTTCATTAATGTTTTCTTTTGTGGAGCAACAGTGACACCCAGTGGTGATTCATAGTAAATGCTTCGTTAATGCCGCTTTGAAATTTCGTTTGGTGGAGTAATGGCGACACCAAGTGGCGAGTTCTCATAAATGCTCTACAGAGGAGACCCTTTTCTGACCTGTCCATCTCAGGAGTCAGAATACAGTGTCCAGGGAATGGGAAAGTCGATGGGGTGCACTTTGCTGACTTTCCCTTCAAGCTGCGCACATCCAGATCAAAAGAACACACTTTGGCCACCTTCACTGCTAGTATCATGCCACTCTTGCCTTCCTCTTATATGCATTTGCTGATGTATCCAGGGGCTAGCCTTTCTCCAGTGTGTTCTTACCCAAGCTGCACATTAGAATCACAGGTGGAGGAGAGGAGGAAGTGGCGTTCTCTACTCAGTGCTAGGATATCATCTCCAAACATACTATTTGAAACGTCACGGAGCATTATTTTTTTTTAATTCCCCAGGTGATTCTTCCTAAAAGAACTGACGGAAATCAGGTTGAGAGTGAAGCCAATTGGTTAATATCAGGTTAAAGACAGCCCAATCAGACTCTTAGATTAATCAATAAATCTACACTGTGCTGTTTACTCTGGCAAGATGGCACAAAATCTATTCTGGATTTCTTCATTTTTCTATTCATGTCTCCTTCCTAGGAGCCACAGATACATACATACATACATACATACATACATACATACAGTGTATGGTTTTATAAATCTATTCTAAATAGGGGGGGTATAAAGGTCATGTCTTCATATTTCATAGCCAATTCACGCCCTGCCTACTTTCAAAATTCATAGCCAACTTGCACCCTGCCTGCCTTCAAAGGTCTTCAGAGAAGCGGTCAAACAAATTGGTGGCAAGACACCATACATCCATAAAATTGAATTTCCCTTCCAGCACTGCTGCTGTTATGTACTGGGAATGCCACTGGGAGAGGACAGACTGGGAGCAACGGACGAACAGCTCCTGAGACTAGAAGGAAAGTAGTCCCCCTTAAGCATTCCTCTTGGCTTTCTGTGACGTGTCAAAGCCGATGGAGCCCCTCCTACAATTGTATATGGAACAAACGAAGAGGCACCTAGGAACTGAAATTCTCAGCAATCACAAAATCTACATCTGTGCCCCATTAGCATTCTGTCTGTCTTAGAGCATTTGCTATTTTCTGCCTGTATTATAGTAATTGTCTGGTCGATCCTATAACCATAACTCTTATGTTATTATAGCTAGGGGGTTTATGAAGGGTATGTGTTTAGCATGCTCAAATTCTTTTTTTAAAGATTTTTTATTTATTTTTATTTTTTAGAGAGGGAAGGGAGGGAGAAAGAGAGAGAGACAGAAACATCAATGTGTGGTTGCTGGGGGTCATGGCCTGCAACCCAGGCATGTGCCCTGACTGGGAATCGAACCTGAGACAGACACTTTGGTTCGCAGCCTGCACTCAATCCACTGAGCTACGCCAGCCAGGGTAGCATGCTCAAATTCTTTACTGTAGACATTAGCATTCAAAGCCTCCTAAAAGGAAGCAAGTTTCAGGAAAGAACTTCCATAGAGAGCTGGTGCATTAGATATTAAAAGGGTAGGTTTCTCTTCCACAGACTCTGCCATTCACTCTGGAAACATGGTGTCGGGATTACAAAAATGAAGGATACAGAGGCCCTGAGGGTCAGAAGAACATATGGGCTGGACATATCTCCAGCTCCTAAGGTGCCTCACATTCTTTGCAGTGTCTTGGGATGTTCACAATTCATTCCAGGGCCTGTCGGTATTAGTAAAGGCCAGCCTCATATGGTATTTTATTATTAGAGAGAAAAATTTGTCCATACTTTTTTGCCTTCTACATACCCAAGTAGTATGGAATGTAAAATGTGTGCTTTTAATGAAATCCAGTATGGCTACAGACCTTCGTCCTGTGTGGAAAGACCAGGCAGGTCTCCAATTACAGCTTTGCAATGACCCCACTTGGGCTCCACCTTCAGATCATGCCTTATAGATGACAGATTTTTTATTATTTTTAAATGTATTTTTAGAGAGAGGAGAACGGAGGGAGAAAAAGAGGGAGAGAAACATCGATGTGCAAAAGAAAATATCAATTGGTTATCTCTTGCATGCCCCCATCTAGGGACCTGGCGCGCAACCCAGGCATGTGCCCTGACTGGGAATCCAACCTGCAACCTTTCGATGCACAGGTCTGCGCTCAATCCACTGAGCCACACCAGCCGGGGCTGGGCTGGGGATTTTCTGTTAAATGCATGGTCATGTATTTTGCTGTCAGGCATTTCAAGCACTACATTCCTCGCATGGGGTAAAAGAGACACACTCCCTCTTCAGAGTACCAACCCAAACAGCTCGTGCTTTGGGTCCCAGTAGCTCAGCTCTGCCCCGGGAGCACCCTCCCACGTACCTGCCAGCAGGCCGATGAGCAGCATGACCACCCATCCTGACCAGGCGTCCAGCAGACCCTTGATGAACTCCCATACAGACTCCTTGCTTTTGCTGGTTATCTAGGAACAGGAAGACACAGTATCATCTGCATACGTTTTCCAATTCAGGCTTCCTTGCCTGAAACCTTCCTCAGGAAACAGGGTGCTGGAGAACACAAATGTAAATGGCCCACCGATTTCCCACGACGTCCTTCTGTCAGTTACCCACCGCAATGACAAAATGGGCTTTCTAGTTCCAAAAAGTCACTCACTTAAACAAACTTACGAAGTGTGATTTGATCTTCGATTATTCAAAAGCCACTTTGAAGGGAGATGTCGATTCAGTGCCACCATTTTGAATAGAATTCTTATTTTAATCGACATCATAACACCGTGTTCACAAAAGAACCTCCTTAACAAAGACATCACTAACTTCTTTTGTTTTTCACATTCAGTGTTAAACACCAGAACTCTGGATGCTCTGGCATGGATGACACTCCCAAGGCAGGTGGATACATGTAAGCACATCGCAAGAGCACCCATTTGCCTCCCTGCCTTAACAGAAGCCCACATTCTTCTGAGACTCAGTATTCTCAGGCCGCCTCTCCCGCGGCCCCTCCCTTCCTGAGATCCCAGCCTAGCGGTGACACAGGAACCGAAGCGTGATCTCAGTAACTGTCCAATGAGAGCAGAGGAGCCCCTTGAACATGTCTCTTATGACGGCCACCTACCTTCCGGTGCCTGTCAGTGTCCCGTGACTTTTCCCTCAGCCAGTCAATGGTGTGGAAGTCCTCATACGTCCCCACATCAGGGAATGGCTCATCGAGAAAATCCATCAGGTTTCCAGAGCCGCTCATCACTCGTGCATGAAACCATGCTAGTTACACCTGGGGGAGAAAGCCTGCGGTTAAAAACACAAGCGGGGTACCTGCACACACCCGGCAGAATAACCCGCTTGTACTATTTTCTCACATGAGGAAGAACTATTTCAGCACAGGCATCTCTGCTGTAATGAAATGTGCACATGCGTACACAGTCTGCCTTAGTCCATACGGGCTGCTGTAACAAAAACACCCTAGACTGGGTGGCATTAGGAATGCTGGAAGTACCCCCGCACTGAGTTGCAGCAGCACTGTAAACAGGGAAATCGCCAATAAAAAGGCACGAGAATGTAGAACATGTGGCACTAAACAGACTGTGGACAGGCGCTTGTTCCCAGTGTGAAAGCTGCAACAGGACTGCGGAGGGCTGCCTTCTTCAGCCCCAGCCAGACGCGCGCACGGCTGGAGACGCAACCTCTTCGCCACTCCGCGCATGCGCATGTGCGTGTGAATGGACGGGGAAAGTGCCACGTGCACCGATGTGGGGCTTATGAATACATTTTAGCGAGTGGGCAAATTCATTCATACAGAGCCACAAATAATAACACTCAACTCTACACATTTCTGAGAAATCTCACGTTCTGCAAAAGCGAGGGGTCAAAATGAGAGAGAAGGCTGGAGGGACGAGTGGGGTTGAGGCATACCACTCAAAATCGAATCATTGTAAGCAAACCAATAACTGGTTGTCCTGGTAGACAGACCACTGAGGCAGACAGCCTATGTGGCTGTCACTGTGGATAGTCAAAATGCAGGGCGACAGTAGAGTGTCCATGCTGGCAATGCTGGAACTAACTGGTGTGAGCCAAGGTGCTCTGCAGAGGGGTCCAGGGAGGTGGACAAGGGGATAGACAGACCATGCTGTAGTCTGAATGTTTGTGTACCCCCACCCAAACGTGTATGTTGGAATCCCAACTCCCAGTGTGATTGCATTAGGAAGTGGGGTCTCTGAGAGGGGTCAGGTCCTAAGGGCGGAGCCCCATGAATGGGAATAGTGTCCTTATAAAAGAGAGTCCAGGAGCTCCCTTGCTTGTCCCTTCCATCCTGGGAGGACACAGCGAGAAGTCTGTGATGGGGAAGAGGGTCCTCAGCCAACCACGCCGGCACCTGGATCTCAGACTCCCAGCCTCCAGATCTGTGAGAAATAAATATCTGTTGTTTATCAGCCACCGGCCTATGATATTTTGTTACAGTGGCCGGAATGACCTGAGGCAAGCCGAGACCCGTGCCAAGCAGGCGACACTCTGCCCTGGGCCAGGAGCTCTGGGTGCACGTGCTCAGTTTTCATTTCTCTTAAAAGACAGTCAGCTCTGGCTGGTGTAGCTCAGTGGATTGAGCACAGGCTGCGAACCAAAGCATCGCAGGTTGGATTCCCAGTCAGGGCACATGCCTGGGTTGCAGGTCACGGCCCCCAGCAACCACACATGGATGTTTCTCTTTCTCTCTCTCTCTCTCTCTCTCTCTCTCTCTCTCTCTCTCTCCCTCCCTCCCTTCCCTCTCTAAAAATAAATAAATAAAATCTTTTTTAAAAATACAGTCAAAAGGGCTCTCGCTGCCAGGACGGTAGCAGAGTTGAGGGTTTACTCCTTTCCTGCATAACAATTCCACTCCCACTGTCCTGGCTCCTCTTCTCTGAAAAACAATTGCAAAGAAACCAACACATTGGCCATGTTACACCGCCATCGGAGCCTGATTACAAATCACACCGGAGCTCATCTGAGAGGGAGAGAATGCTTTGCAGAGATCCAGGGCTCACCAGCAGTTAGCAGGAAAAATATCACACTCTCGCAAAGACAAGAGGTTGGAATAAGCACTAAATAAAAATTCCTTTGGCAAGGAGGATGGAAATTTGAATTATAGGACGAGAACCACAAAAGTGCTGAATAAAGAGGCGAAGGGTAGTTATAAAAATATTTAAGTGCAGGCTTCTCTCGTTGCTTTATGTATTTTTATATACGGAGGGCTCAACCACGACCCGCTGAAACTGCATTTTAATCAAATTGAAAAGTCACTATGGGCAAAGTGGGGTAATCACCTTACAAGCAATAAAGTGGCCATAGTGATTGATTTATCGGCCATCTGCACAACCCAGCTGCCTTAAAACTTGAAAAGTTTGAGGTTTGAGCCATGCCAAGCTGAAACATATACTGGCTGATGAGTGCCCGGGGAAGAATCATGTTGCATAAGTAAGTAGCCTCCAATAATAAAAGGGAAAGAGTAAAATTAGAAAGCAAAGATTTCGCTCTCGTTTTTACAAAAACAAGACGGTAATAAGCCTCGTATGATATGTGGTAAAGAAAAGCTCTGATGGGAGAAAGAAGATGGCAGATTGTGGACCCGCCGAGGGGAACCTCGGGGAGAAAGACTCGGCCCGCAGATAGGAAAACTGCAGGCTCGCACACTGTATCAAAAATGAGTCCTCGTTACCTAAGATCCAACCAAATCTCCAGTGAAGCCACAACGCCGGGCAGTCATGGCTGCAACGAAAACTCACTCTGCCCAAAAACGTCCGGGCCACACATTCGGACGGCGATTTGCAACGAGTGTGCCACAAGGATTTTTCACACACACACAATAGCTGGCGATGTAGTCAGCCGGGGGCACTGACCTCTTTTCCGCGAGTTTGTCAAATAAAAATAATGACAACAGCTAACACAACAATAGCCGTCCGGTGTGAATCAATGAACATTACACCTATTTGGTTTTTGTCAGGTCAGCAGGAATGGAACATGTTTTCTGGTGTGCTGCAGAATCTCAGCAATGAGTTTCTGTGCGCGCGGAGTTGGCTTTGAGTGCGCCGTTTCCTCCACCTGGGCCAGCCTTCCTGTCCTCTATCTGAAAAGCTCCTATTCACCCTCGTGACTCCGACCCGCTTGACCCCATCTGTGGAATGCGCATTAACTTCTCCGGAGGGACCCGGGGGCTTCCTCCCCGGCGATGCAAAAGCATGAAAACACGAATATGTCTGGCGTTTTAAATATCTTTTCCTGAAAACTCCTCAGAGTGTTTACATTATTACAGACTATATTCTCTTTGTTCCAGAGAGATCCATCTATTCGTGACACGGAGACCAAACGTTACCAACCAGCGCCTTTTCACCCCCCTCAGGAGCAAGCAAACGTTTTTGAATTAATTAAAAGTATTTGTCTCTGCCCCAGATACTGGTTTAGCCCATGGGACTTCCCAGAAATTTCAGAGCTATCCTCGCCGCCGACTCTTTACATCAGTCATTACAAAGCAGAAAATCACGAAAGAGAATAAAAATAATAGCACTCTTTGTTGTTGGCAAAACTAAAACGTGGGGTAGTCTCGGTGATAATCCCGCTCCTTCCGCGGCTATCATAAAACCTGTGACCCTTGCCGCCCGTAACACTTAGAAGTGGGCACCGGAAAGTGGGATTTAGAGATCGCTAAATACACACAAATGTATATACAAAAAGCAAGCGGCACCTAAGCTGAAGGATATGGTAGAACCCAGCCCAAGGCCATGGCCATGCTGGTCAATGGGAATTCCCAGCACGGCTGCTACAAAGACTGATTTCTGCCCCCTCGGACCGAAGCAAGACAGACATTAGGGAAATGGGGGATTGAGCTGGGAAATCATCCCGGGGCACATCCAGGACTGAGTTCTCCATCATCTCTTAGTCTGTCCTGTTTTCTGTCGAATGAAAGTGTTAGTAAGCACAAGGAGGAAATCGAACACAGCCATTTTTGTTACATTGCAGAAACTACTCAACCAGCCACGTGCGGGGGACAGGTCTGGGTTAGCTTGTGGTAAGCATTTTCAGAATTCTTTTCGCAAAAAGAACACACCTACGCAGATCAAAGAACAGAACAGGAACAGCCCTCGACGCCCCCTCGTGGCCCCTTCCAGGCCCTGCCCCAGCCTTAAAGGTACCCGCTATCCTGACCCTCACACCATGGCCTAATTTTTCCTGTTTCTGAACTTCGTATCAATGGAATGTCTTATTACCCTCTTCTTTTGTTCTACATTATTTAATAAGATCCATCCACATTGCTGAGTGTAATTATCATTTGTGCATTGTCTTGGCTCCTATCACTGCAGACTTCTTCCATTTAGGGCCAGATAACAAATATTTGAAGATCTGTGGGCCATGTGGCCTCTGCTGGGATGACCGAGCTCTGCCATCGTCACAGAAGAGTAGTCAGAGATAGTGCACAAAGTAATGACTGGAGCTGTTGCAATAAACTTGGACTTATGGACACTGACATTTGAATTTCATATAATCTTCATAGGTCACAAAATCTTTCTGTTGTTCTGTAATCATTAAAAACTGTAAAAGCCATTCGTAGCTCAGGAGTCATATACGGACTCGCCTTGGCCCTCAGGGTGCTCGGTGGTGGGAATAAACCCCTGTGGGTTCCGCCATCATATCTGGAGGGAAAGACATTGGCGTGCCTTTCCACTTGGAACCATGACATGCGGGCTTGCCATCATGTGGCGTTTTTGACACCCACTTGTAGATGTGTCATTGTACGCTTTCCACCGTCCCCTCCTCTCTTGGCCCAGCAGTGACGAGGTGCCAATAAGAACCTGACCACCTTGATGCCAGTGTCCCTCTCCCAAACCCCACCACGTCGCCTTATCTTCCACCTTGCTCTCTTCACTGAGCCCCAGGTGACTTGAGCAGATGGACCGGAAAGCCGTAAGTTGGATGAAAAGACTAAGTCTCCAATCAGCAAGGGAGACCGGCCACCCAAGGGGTAAGTGCCAGCAGATTCCTTTGCCACCAACGTCTCCTCCTTGTTTCAGAAGCCTTTCCAAAAAGCTGTCCTCGTCCCCTTTCTCCACTGGGGGTTGGCTATGTTCCCTGCAAAGAGCCAGATGGGAACTACTTTCCGTTTTGCAGGCCATACAGTCTCCGTCGCAATTACCCCCCTCAGCCACGGGAGTGGAAAGCAGCCCCAGAGAGGGGGGAAATGGAGGCATGTGGCCCGTGTGCCTGTGACACTGCATTTACGGGAACTCGTGGTGGAGTGGGGCTGTG